ATATATATATATATATATATATATATATATATATATATATATATATGTCTAATTTATATCTAGCAAATTGTCATAGCTGAAGGTTCATATGCAGCAGATCAGGTTGATAAAACAATGGAGAAATTTCTGTCTTTCTTTCTTGGTTGTTTTATGTATCTTGTGTGTCTTGCGCTGTCCTCCCTTCCTGGTCGTAAAAGCAGAGAGGCATTTAACAACATAATGAGAGCAGCGCTCAGCTCAGCTCTCATCAGCTCTACTTTAATACTCAGTGTGTGCGTGTGAATGCTAAAGAAGTAATCAAATCTGAAATGGCGTGTCAGTATCAAAGGCTCTCTTATTCTTTCAAACACTGCAGTAACAACAATCAAGGTTAAGTTTAGGTTTAAATTGTGCTGTACTGTTCCTCAAGCATGCTGGAGGTTGCTACAGATTGTTAAGCTCTTAATGCTGGCTGCTAACACAGTTTCGCCTGTAGCTTTCTCTGGGGAAGCTGGAAAGAAGAGCAGTTTCTGCTTTTGCTGCCTGTGGTTACCTGAGGTATGATGTGGTTCAGTCTTTTAAAGAAACGTGCAATAGATGAAGTGTTAGAGTCTCATTTGAATCTGATGCTTGTCTAAAAAGCCAAAAATGGACCAGCAACTCGACTTTGACTTCAGCACCAGTGACTTGGACTTTGACTCGGACTTGAGCATGACTCGGAAATACTCAAGACTGCAGACAGGACCCTACACTTATTTTTCATGTGAATAAATTTGTTTCCTGCCGTAAATTGAATAAACAGCAATGTTGTCAAGTGTCGGCTACAGTGCTTATGCTCTTTATTTTATTTCAGTAGACAAGACAAGGGGTAGAGCTCAAGTTTGCATCCATAAACTGGAAACAAGTGAAGCATCAATAGCATCAGTGCACCCTCGCTTAGTATTAAACATCAGTCTTACTGGAGAAACTCACCACGTGAATTGACCATTTTCCTCATGGCAGCAACACTAAAGAAACACAGCTGTCTGTATTTGACCGCTTTAACAGCTTCTGCAGGTAAAACAAGTGCAACATTCACCATGAGGCTGAAGTTGATCTTTCATTCGCCAGCTTCGTATTGGAATTTGCCATTCCACCTTAAATGATGCAGCAGTCAGGCACCGGAATGTAACTGCTGCACCATTTAAGGTGGAACGGAAAATTCAGATAAGAAGCTGGCAAAAAAAGGTCAACTTCAGCTTCGTACATTCGCCATCATTTTGCTGTCATTTCTGTAAACTTTGTTCAGTTTGGTTTCTGTTATCACATGTGCCCAGTGTTCCCAAAAATTGGGACTTGAATCGAGACTCGACTATCTTGACTTGGGACTTGACTGGGGACTTAAGTGTGAAGACTTGAGACTTACTTGTTATTTGCAACTTAGTGACTTGTTCCCAGTTCTGATGTATTGTATTGCACTTATGCTGTCTTAAGTCTGTATTTTGTATCTTTCTTTGTAGGTGTCAGCACTGACTCATTTCTGGCAGTATCTGAGGTCAAGGGTACTTATTTGTACGATATATATGTGGACAACAATGCACTTTTGTGGATAAGAGTGTCTGCTAAATGCCATAAATGTAAATGTAAACTTACCTGAACACTTAAATGCTGGGTGATGTGATAACCTACGTTAATACTACGTTTATTGTACCTAACATAGGTGAGATTGTCCTAATAACGCAACTGTGTTAAACAGGCTCTGTACTGCAGGCCTATAACATGCCTGTACAAAAAGCCACCTCAGTGGTATGCTGTACATTTTAGAACATCCTCACACCACAGCGTCAGGTTTCAGACTGAAAAAACTACTTCAGTCTCAGGAAAAACACATGAGTAAAACACTCTGAGTAAAAACATGTCTCAGCTCTCAAACATCATGCAAAACAGGTCGTTTCAAACAGCCTCAGGTCAAACACCTTCAGAGAAGAATGCAAAGGGCTAAGCTAAGTGGCCTCAAACTCTCAAAGTCAAAGTTCATGTGGCATTTGCAAATCCGTTCTTTTATACATTGTTTATTACAGTTTTGTTGCCACAATCTCAGCTTTCATTGATCTGTGCTTTATTACTCTTATTCTTTTTTATTTGACAAAGATTAAGACTTAACTCGTGTACTACCACTGTATGTTCTCCTATATCTACTTCAGTGTAAGGAAACATTGAAAAATTACTAAAAATAAAACACTACCCACCCGATCTGGTTTAACTGTTTATCACAGTTATTTTCTACACTGTTATTTTTACCCTAGTAACAGGACTCTGTATCAGCACAGGCCTATGAGAAACCAACGATTTTGTCTTTTAAATGGTATCATGATGTGTTTAATTCGACCAGTGACATGAAAGAACAAGGTAACTAAGGTCAATTTTGATTTCAAGTTGAACTGTAAGTAAGGTCACCGAGGTTGTGTTTGCAAAGAATAAGCCATTAATGTCCAGTGCCGTTCAATAAAGGTGTAATCTTCATTGATTTACAGTATAAGTAGCTGTGAAAGACTTTTCAAAAACATTGCTGATGCAATCTTTTGGCAAACATCAACACGGCTTTAAGTGTGATTTTGATACTGATGACAGATCTGGCAGTGGGCAAAGTAGTTGAGATTTATACACTGCCTTTCAAAAGTTTGGGTAATTTTTTGAACGTTGTTTAATTTTCATTGTTACCTGCAAAGGTTGTGTTAACATGAAGAAGATATTTTGCAGCGTTCCTCTTCATGTTCATCAAAGTGTCTACTGGTATTAGGAACTGGTTTTGCCTAAATAATGATTTAACAGTTTCTTTTCCAGTTTTTAAGGCACATTCTATAAATAGTTTTGGTTTCGACAGCTAAAAGGTGTTTTTTGTACTGACATCACAAGAAGAGGTAAAAGTTTGCATTGTATGCCATTATTCCCAAAGCAGCACTGTCAAAAATACTGTTTTAAGAAAGACTGCAGATTTTAACATCTTTAATATCATCCAAAAAACTCTGACAATGCTGAATCAGCTTCAGTACATGAAATCAAGCGCCAGGCCTACCAGCACCTAATTTACATACCATTTACGTGAAGCACACCCTAATTCAAGTAGACATTTCAAAAGAGAGCCTATAAAATGACAGCATTCAGCTTGTGAGCCAGTGGGTGTTCTCATAGGCAGAGTTTGAGGTTGAGCAGTGAAGAACGATGACTGGGAAGAATAAAATGTGAAATAAACAAAAGGTCTTATTATTGGTACAGATGATATTGATAATAGTTTTGGTTAGCTGCACATAAATCAGTTTTTTAGGTTGTTAAAATAGTGCGCTCTGCCAGACGTGAGTCTGATGGTACACATATGCCAGAAAAAATCAGAAATTGCTGAATAACAAAACTGTCAGTGAAATTTGTGTTCTTTCATTTCACCAGCACATTTGACTGTTTGCAACTTTGATGAATAAGGGCAATAAAGTTTCAGCTTCACAAAACATAACAAATGCAGCTGTGGTTAATTTGTTACACAGCAGTAGTTACCAACTTTCTCTGTTAACCCAGGTTCAGACATTCAAGCTGTGATTAATCCTTGTGTGCATGCACATGAAAACGTGTCGGCTATGACAAACAACCAATTGTATGAAACAAGTCAAGTAGCTTATTTTCACACACACACACACACACAAACACACACACACGCACATATTTTCTAAGCAGCTTATCCTCCTGGGTAGCGGGGGGTGCTGGAGCCTATCCCAGCACTCACTGGGCAGAAGGCAGGAAACACCCTGGACAGTTTGCCAGTCCATCACAGGGCTGGTCTTATTAAAAATCCTACAGCAATATGTTAGAAAGTAAAGCCTTTATAATGGCAAAAAGTCACCACTGCCACTGAGTTAGTGTTTATATGAGAAATGATTGCTTTTTTTTTTGATATTTGTAAAGTGTGACCTGAAAAGTGATGTTGTTCATCTAATTGACATCTGTTGCCTAAAAAGGAGCTGGAGGGGTTAAGCTCCATCAATCCAAAATCCACAACTTTACCTACTCTAGAGCAGGTTAGATGTGCAGCATTAGTTGCCATGCTGATGTATCCCACTAAAAAGTGATGAGAGAAAATCCAGGGTTATATCAAACTAAACTTAAAGTTAGCTGGCTAAGCTAGAAACCCTGCTTTGTGAGTTGTTTGTCTTTAATATTGTAAACAGGCAAACAAAATTTTATCATTTCCATTTAAATATTTGGAGAAGCTGAGTGTACCCAAACTTTTGAGGAGATGTGTATTTGTTTAATCTAGTTTTATAGTTCTTTGAAGGTGCTGTGGACGTTAGCAGATGCTTATTCATGCACTCTGGTTCTGTGAGCAGGTGTTGCTCATTAGATTAACCTTGTGTAATAAACAGTTGGCCCAGAGCTGGTTTTCAGTGACGCACAGGCTTGGCTTCAGCTTCATTTCGAAAATCTTCCTGGCATGTTGGACATATTGGAACTCTGGTGCAATTCTGTTCACTCAACAAGTGTGTTTATCCAGTTGGATGTAAAAGTTTGGGCACCCCTGGTCAAATTACATGTTTTGTCGATTTTCTAAGTGAAAATAAGTTACGCATCCTCTACAGAGAACACATGTCTGTATATTTAAATCCACAATTACTGTTTATTTGCTGAATTTAACATTTTAAAAAGGCATACAATGTGGCTTGTGCAAAAGTTTTATATATTATATTTAACATATTTTACATTTTATATTCAACATATTAAAAGGACATATAGTGTGGCCTGTGCAAAAGTTTTACATTTTATATTTTATATATTTTTTTCCTAGTATGTTAAGCTCAGCAGTAAATAGAATCTGTGCATTAAAATTAGCAGAAAAATGCCATGTTTAAGTTTGAGGGGGTGTTATTTTCACTTGGAAAATCAACAAAACATGTTATTTGACCTGGAATGTCTTTTGCCTCTGTATTTACACTGTGTGTGTGTGTGTGTGTGTGTGTGTGTGTGTGTGTGTGTGTGTGTGTGTGTGTTTGTTTCAGGTGTCATCCACCCTGGCTCCTGCCCTGCAGCTACAGATTTTGTGTGTAACAACGGAGATTGTATCGATTCCAGTCTAGTGTGTGATAATAAGGGCGATTGTGCTGATAGGTCTGACGAACTGGACTGCAGTGAGTACATCTAATACAACACCTGTTACTTTCAGAAAAAAACTGCACCTTTCAGGGTGTCACTGGGGTGGCACCCTCAAGAGTACATCTTCAGTACCTTCAGTTAGGGAGCATTATTGTACCATATTCCATTGCAGTTACGTATTTTTAAGTTGCATAAGACTCCATACACACTGACATAACTGCAGACTTTATATTTTATTTTTCTCTTTTAAAAAAGTTAAGTTACACAAGGTACAGATATGCACCGTTCCCCTGGCAAAAAGTGAATGTAGTGTAATTTTAAAACTCATTTAAGGTGCACAATTGGATCCTAAGGACTTTATTGTACTTTGAGGGTACATTTACATTGGTTGTATCTCAGGGGTCTAAATTTAATTTTACTTTAAATTTTTTTCTGACAGTCTACTTTCTTCTAATCGCGAGAGGTTGAGAGTTGTTACTGTTGGTTGTGCTTTCCTATTTGAAACAAATTATGCAATTACATGGTTAAATGGTTTTTCGTCTTACTGTCCCATGAGTTCTGTGTATTAGCTGGGTAAATGCGAGGCACAAACTTAATAGTACTAGGTAATTATTTGGGTAACATTATGGTACATTTTGAGACAGTCTAACTAAATTACACTAAAATAACCAACAGATTCTAGCTATTAAGCAGATAAAGCACATGGTACGTTATCTCAAAAATGCAAAAAAATGTTCGAAGTAAAAAGGCGATAAGTACAAATGAACAAATTACATTTCACAGTAATGTCACACATTTGGACAGGTAAAGTAAAAGGTAGTAAATAGTCATGGTAAATGGTGAGAACCTAGTAAATGCATGGTAAGACTTTTACACCCCAGATTAAGTTTCATTTATAAGTGACTATCATGTACATACTATGCTAATAAGAGCAAGAGGAAGAAACCTTGAGAGGAACTAAGACTCAAAAGGGGAACCCATCTTCCTCTGGTCGACACCGGATAGCAAACAATAATACAAGAGTAAAATGAACAGAGTATAAGGTTTTAATATTTAACATTAGTGTAAAATATTAAAATAAAGAAAATGGGAAAAGCAGGAGAGGCAATGGCTCTGATTAAATATAAAGCAGCAGCATCAGGAGGGTCAGTTCATGCAGGTGAGGTTGGCACAGCATTGTACAGCAGGAAGCTCCATGATGGCCAAACTGGTCCAGAAGGCTGACGAGCAGTGGATACCTGATTAAGGCAACAGCATCAAACCGCACATAGGCAGTTATTCAGCTCAGCAGAGAAACACACAGGCAATTAGTTCTGTTAAGAGAGACTGATTACAGCATACAGTGTTAACAGTGACTCTGGCAGGTCAGCAGTGACTCTGGCAAGTCGAGCTATTACAGCCTAACTAAAAGTGAGAGCTAGAATGTAACAAAGACATGAGGGCTCCCTGCAATATCAACACCCCTCTGCTCCACCGTCAACAAACTTGAGTGAACGCATGAGAGCAGCGGGACCACAGTTTACCATTATACTCTATATCCATGAACCCCCAGATATGAACCTTTTAACTAACAGGAAAACTAATTACCAAGACTTGACTAGGCTAGACTCAAAGACTGAGGCTGTGTCTGAGTCCCTGAACACTGACTGCAAGATTATTCCAAAGCTGGGGGGCTTTGTATGAAAGGGCTCTCCCCCCTGATGTAACTTTATTAATTCTAGGTACTAATAGTAAGCCAGCACCTTGTGATCTAAGTCAGCGTGATGGGTCGTAATAGGAGAGAAATTCACTCAGGTACTAAAGGACGAGGACATTTAGAGCTTTATATGTCAGAATTTGCAGTGTAGTGTAGATTTGATAAAACTGGGCTGATATGGTCAAACTTTCTGGTCTTGTGAGGACTCTGGCTGCAGCGTTCTGGACAAACTGAAGCTTGTTAGGCTTTTGCTGGAACATCCAGACAGCAGAGCCTTACAGTGATCCAGCCTTGAGGTAATAAATGCATGAACTAGCTTTTCTGCATCCTGTAGAGACAGTGTATTTCTTAATTTGGATGGAGGAAAGCTATTCTAGTAATATTGGTTATTCATGCATTGAAGGACAGATCAGGATCGATCGTGACACCGTTTTTACAGATGTACCCAATGCAACTGAGAAACTATTAAATTTAAGTGTTAAATTAGACATTTTTTTCTAGCAGCTTTTAGACCAAGAAGAAGAACCTCTGTTTTGTCGGAGTGGAATAGGATGAAGTTACTCGACAGCCGACCTTTATGTCTTTTACACAGTTCTCAACCTCATTAAGTTAAAGTTTATCATCTGGTTTGGTCGATATGTACAGTTGTGTGTCATCAGCGTAGCAGTAGAAATTGATGTGTTTACTGACACTGGTACCCAGTGGTAGCATATATAATATTAATAATAAAGGTCCTAAAACAGCCTTGGGGAACACCATACTTTACTTTTGTAGGAACAGATGATTCACCGTTTACATTCACATACTGATAGCGTTCAGTCAGGTAAGATCTGAACCAGGAAAGACCTATTTCTGTTACTCCTACAAGGTTTTTTTTAGCCTATCTGGTAAGATATAGTGGTCTATTGTAAGAGATCATTTACAATTTTCACTAGTGTTGTCTCTGTACTATGATTAGGTCTTAATCCAGACTGAATTTTTGTCTTTTTGAATCTTATATGTGATTCCTATGCAATTAGGAACTTAGTTGTTGTGCCACAGCTTTTTCCAAAATATTTGATAAAAAGGGAAGATTAATGATTGGTCTATAATTTGATAGCTCGCAGGGATCAAGATCTGACAAAATTTCTTTGAGTTAAAATGGAGGAATTGGATCTAATATGCAAGAAAAAGATTTTGGGAAGGAAATAATTTAACTAGCTCAGTTTGTTGAAGTAACGTAACTGATTCCAGCCCCTCTGCTGTAGTTACAAGATCCGGATTAGCTTTGCAGGGCAGCAGGTTTGTAGAAGTTAGCAGTGTGTTTTGAATTTTTGACTGACAGCTACTGATCTGGGGTTCAGTAGCTGTTTGGTTCTTAATCAATTTAGAAATTGTGCTAAAAAATAATATAGGATTATTCTTATTGTTTTCTATGAGAGAGGAGAGATAGGTTGAGCATGCTGCAGTAAGTGCCCTTCTGTAGTCTATAAGGCTCTCCTTCCAGGCGGAATGGAACACTTCTAGTTTAGTCGGGCCCCATTGTCGCTCTAATTATCCGACAGTCTGTTTTAAAGTTCGAGGATGATCATTGTACCACGGGGCAAGCTTTTTCTGCCTTATTCTACTTTTTAATGGAGCCACATTATCTAGAGTAGAATGGAAAGTATTCTCATTCAATCTGGGAGGTTTCTAATAAAGCTACTTGCTGTGGAGGATGTTATAGTCCACTTAACAAGATAGTGTGGCGATCAATGTATATGACCACTAGAGCAAATTTCATATAAGATTAGGTAATGATCTGAGACTGCTGTGGTCTGAAGAATGGCTAAATTATCATGTTTACACCAAAGGTCAAAATTAAGTCAAAGAGTGTGGTTGCAGTAATGTGTGGCTCACTTTGTATTTTGATTGAAACAAACAGAGTCTACATCATACATCTTTAAGCATTAACGCCACACCCACAGGCTCAAAAAGAGGGTCTTGCTCAATATTTAGGTCTCAAATGCTAAATCAACATTGTACTGATGAAAATGCTAGATCATTCACTTACATCTTACATAATATGTTCGATAAGTTTTGACTGAGGTATCTTTGAACCCTCTTTCTCCATGAATGTTCACATAATCATCAGATTCATCCGATCCAGGAAAGGGTCTGCAGCACGGCTGACAATACAAAATATTCACCCATTTCCATCAGAGAGGTCTCCAAAAATTGCATAGTGCAGCTTTAAGTTTAACTTGAGATGCACCATCATGTTACCCAAAATTATTACATGGTACTTTAGAGTTTCACAATATACCAGTTAATAACTACAACTTGGGGGCTTTTATAGGTAGCATTACTCATTAATTACATAGTTAATTACACAATAAATTATGTTTGTATTTGATTTACGTTCAAGAGCTTTGAGTCTGCACTTCTCTTTTCAGTTTGTTTTGATGTTAAGAAACAAGAAAAAACATGACAAAAATGTAAAGGATGTTTTTCTCTCCACAAGACAAGACTGTTCAACATAATTCATCAAATTCAAATCATAACAAAACATCTCCTCCTCCACTTATGAATACAAATGTGGTGTGGATTGAAAGTAAGAAATAATTAAGATTTAGCACTTTTTATCTGTCAGTTTGGTCAGGAACAGAACCCTATAAAGAAACCGAACCTTAATCTTTTGCACTTCATCAGCCGTTCGGCATCCAGACTCAGACGCAGCCGTTTTATAATTACCTTGTCTTTTGATTTACAACTAATGTTCAGGCATAAAAAGTAATTCTCACACTAAGTGCTGTATTATTTAGTTTCTGCTTGAGGAGACCAACTCAATAAAACATTGCATTACATTCTGGGAGACGGGAACTCGGCTGTTATTTCTTTCTATATAAGAAATGAATCATCTCTGTTTTGTGTTCTGCAGCTGGCCTGGTAGGAGCCTGTAACTTTAACATGCCTGAGGACCAGTGGGAGCAGGAGTGCCAGCTGCAGCAGGACCAGAATGATACTTTTGACTGGCAGATCGGTCGAGGTCAGATGAGTCAAGGAACTGGACCCTCTGCTGACCACAGCCCTGGTAGGTGCTGCTGGCGTACAGTAGCAGTCCTTGAATGAGACCCTGCTCAGTGAAACAGTCCTCACAGTGTGAGGTTTTTTTTGGAACATTTCCTGTAAATTACATAGATTATGCATAGAACCGAAAGTTATGTATGTTATATAAAGAGATGATTATGAAATAGGTCACCCTTATGGCAAGTTGCATCAGATGGTCTTCTGTTCGAGACCAGCACTCTCGTGTTCTTCTGCGAAACTGATGTCACTATAATCACTGGCTGATTAGACAGCTTCCCGGCTTTGAATGGTGCTGAATTATTGTAACATTCTAGTGTCATTACAGGAATTCATAGAGAGGAAATTGAGCCATTCTTCCATTTATTGAACTCCTTAGGGGGATAATCAAGGCTGCAGTGAGAGATCAGAGGATGAATGGAAAGACTCCTGCAAAGCAGTGTAAATGTGATCTCTAAAAGAAACTAATGTGCATGAAATGTAGCTGTTAAATGCATACTGTTGATAATATTTAACCCTTTTGAATAAATCAATAGCATATCGTCACTGTCCAAAGAAAACCATGCATCTCCATTTTTGTTCCTTTTAATTTCATGACGAATGGACCAATGGAAATGCTTCAAAATCACTTGAAATCAAATCTCTTTGCGTTAACGTACATTAAAATGTAACAGTACTTTTGTGTTTCTTTGCTGAATTTAACATATTGGAGAAAAAATGATAAAAACATAAAATGTGGCCTGCGCCAAAGTTGTGCTACATGTTATATTTTATGGTTTTTTTGTTCAGCTGTAAATGCTGCATTTAAGTGTGTTCTCTGTCGAGTTTATGCTTATATTTATACTTAGAAAATCAACAAAATATGTAATTTGACAATTATACATATATGTTTCAAAGCAATTATGAAATAATTGATTATACTACGCTAAAAGAAATGTAATTTAACTAAAAGCCTAATGTTTAATGAGATAATATTTCCATATTTTCTAATATCTGTATTATTACAGTTTAATAATAGTAACATACAGGCTGCTAGTGATTAAATGTCAGAAGTGAAAATGTCACACATGTACACTCACGTGTATGACATTTCACACTACATACATTCAGCACATACAGTATATACATTTGAGACATGTTGATATGTAGTGTCTGTAATGTGTGAGAAATGCTCTGCTGACCGGCTCTCCTGTGTTTGTGAACTGTGTAAGACGGGTCAGGGGGATACCTGTATGTGAACTCGGCCGTGCAGCGAGAGGGGGACGTTGCCAGGGTAACCACCCAGCAGGAGTTTCCCACCAGCATTGGTGTGTGCCATCTGCGATTCTGGTTCCACATGTACGGCTCTAAACGCATGGGTACACTGAAGGTGAGAAGGAGAAACAGAGAGAGGGTAGGGTAACCTGGCAAGTGTAAAATCTGTTATTGTTTGGCAAGGAAGCTGAATTTTGAATTAGATCAAGATTAAATGAAAAAAATAGTCTAATTATCATTTTTCCATTCTATATTGAAATGAAACAACATAGCATGTTATGACAGCTGACTTTTTAGTGGTAAAATGTCCATTTCACAGTTTGTCTCCTGTTTGTAACAGTGTCCTTTTCACATGCAATTCCTCACTATGCTGGACATTTTAATCCTGACAAAAGTTCTAGACCAAGTCGCTTCCAAAGATGACACAAAATGGCCTGAACTGTCCTACGTCAAGGTAGTTTTTCAATGAGAAAAAGAGAGACAAAAGCGCTTTGAGTGGCTAAAATGACTGGACAAACTTCTCATTTTACAGCAAGAAGCAAACAAAATAAAATATACGTAACTCATTTCAGTGGTATTACCACTAGCAATATGTTCATAACATCCTATAAACAGCAATGTTAAACCTATTTTACTTAAGAGCCTGAGAAAATATGCATAAGTCTGTCAGTCATGGCACATCATAAGGCTTCATTAAGATCTTATAAGAATAAATAAAACACTCACAAAAATATATTTCTCTGTTATAACAGAGTATCAGTATCAAAATCTTCACAATATAACTACAATTTTCCAGAAAGTGTCAAGGAAAGTGTTATGACACAGCAGGTGTTGACATTGCGGTTGATAAAAGCAGCCATTATGACAACTGCTGCTTATATTAAGAAGCCTTTATAAATGTTTATGTAGGTTTATTTCACTTATCATGAAAGGCTTATGCATCTGTCATGCAGCCTCATAAATTAGCCATCCTAATTATGTTGGTGGTTGATCAGACACATAAGGCCTTCTGTCTAGCTCCTGAAGCCTGACTTATAGGAGAGTTTGCACAGCTGTATCTATATAAACGTTTTCACCTTTTAGTTTACAGTTCTGTCCAACACTCAAAGATGAAGTAGGAGTACAGTACTCGCAGAGATTAAATACATGAAATAAAAATAAACTGAAAATCACAGACATTTAATTTTTTTTAGTTCCATGAATTCTAGGCCTTCTCTGAAGGTCCAGAATGCCCTAAGGGTTCTCAACTGGTAACTGTATTCATAATTAATTCCATAGTGACCTACATTTACATTTGATTTACATTCTGTATTTACAAGTTTGACTCTGTACCTCTAAATTTTTCCATTTGTTTAGATATCCAAAAATTACAGAAACATGGAAAAAACATAGTATGTTTATATTTAGTCTCCACTAATCAAATTCAAATCACAATAAAATATCTCCTCTTCTACTTACAAACACAGGTGTGGTATCAATGGAAAGTTTAGAATCTTAATGAATATCAAATTACATAATGCTTTTATTATTGCTGGCAGTAACCGCAGCTTCTAATGAGTACAGTAATGTGGGTAGAAAAGAGTGTTTATATATGCTGTGATTCTGTGGCGGGTATTACGCCCTGAAGGCTGAATTCTGGCTGGTACATTACAGGTGTACACAGAGGGTACAAGCGGTGTTCCCTTGCTGATGTGGGCGGCCAGCGGTAACCATGGATGCAGCTGGCGCTATGCTAACGTGGTCCTGTCCAACCCGTTGCCCTTCAGAGTGACCTTTCAGGCAGAGGTGGGAGGGGACCAGCAGACAGACATCGCCTTGGATGACCTTTCCTTCACCCAGTCATGCACCATAGGAGGTAATGGACTCTTCACATTCACTGCCTTTCTGTCTCTTCTTTTTTGTCTGTTCTCTACTACATTGAAAGTTTTCATGCTACAACATAGTCAGTCAGTTAAGTGTCTGAAGTTCACTTCTTTTATTTTGCACTGAAGCTACAAGGCTAATATAGCTAATAAGTAATGGATGCTTATCAGAACCAAACCACATGGAGTTGTTAAATAATACCCGGTAGGCTTGCTTATGTGGTTTCTGATATTGTATAACATGAAAAAGTCATATAGTGTGGAGATAACATTAAACTATCCGGTGTCAAAAGCACATAGGCAAGTCTCTTTGAGATTTCTGAACAAGTAAACATAGTTTGAGGCAAGAGTGATGATTTATGCAGTTTGCAGTGCTAATGGGTGTACGTAAGCTTCCATCCCATTACTTAGCACTTAAGAAACTAAAGAAACTAACACAGTAAGAAGCGAACTGCAAATACCAAACGTCCTGGCCGATCCACTACATTTAGGGTAAGAGGGGAAAATGGTGTAAATCACATTATTAATGTCCTAAATTGATGTCTTAAATGGAGGGTCTACCTGTCGATCCATTCTGAGAATGTGGCAGTTCCTTTAACTTGTTTAAATGTGGAGCCAGAGCACATGCATGAAACCTAACAGAGTCTGATTATTCAAGTGTTCAGGTAAACAGCATGCTCCAATTTCTTAAATCAGATTAAGGCCTAGAAATCTGATTAAGAAATCCAATAAAGAGAGCTGGATTGTAGCTAAGTAATCATGTTTTTCAGTGCAGGTATACCCTCACTCTGATTTCTTTCATTTTTTCTCAGTCGACACATCTGTGAATAGAGACTGCTGTCCCATAAATAACAGGAAGCGTTGAACATAGCACCTGCACTTTTGGAGTGATGCTGAAACCAACTACATGCTTGAAGAAATGATGAATTTAAATATTCTTCATCTTCTAGATGTATATATAATATAATATATTCATTTTTCTGCTAACTCAATGTTTAAAAAAAGCCAAAGCATGAAGATGAGTTTTATGTTACGTTTACATCACGTCTTCTTCTGTGAGTTTATCGGCTGAAAAGCAGAAATCCAATTTCTTCCTGATTTATGTAGACGTAGAGTTTTCCCATTATCTGATTAAGTGCATAAAACACATTGAGTGAGTTACATTTAATATGTTAAATTTAGCAAATAAACTACTGAAATGTGCAGAAGTGTGTTCTCTGTAGAAGATGTGTTAAGCTAAGCTATTTCCACTTAGAAAATCATTTTACCAGGGTGACTGCTGAGTTCCCGTCTCCCAGAATGTAACTTTTGCATATGACTTGTGTGTATTACAATGTATGTATTTTTGTTTTTCAGCCCCTGTCACCTCCATCCCGCCAACATGTGACCCGGGATACTTCCAGTGTGTGTACCTGTTGGAGTGTGTGCCACTGAGCTGGCGTTGTGACGGCGAGGTGGACTGTGTGGACCGCTCGGATGAGGAGGAGTGTGTGAGTGTGGTGCCGGGGACTGTGCCCCCCCAGACTGGCTGTGAGGACAGACAGTTCCGCTGCACCAATGGCACCTGCATCCCCTCACTGCTGCGCTGTGATAGTGTACCAGACTGCCCTCACGGAGAGGATGAATATGGATGCCGTAAGATACTCACAAATCCATACAAGTCACACATACACACACACTCACACAGTTGCAAGGCAGCATTCAGAAATGCAGTACATGTCAAACGTTTTTACACTTGACCTTTTATGTAGTCTTCTCTTTCAAATACAACTTTTAACTGACAAGAAGTTTCATTTACAGCTGACTCATTAATAACAAAGTTATTTCCAGCTACTGTTACGCCATGAATTTGTTTATCACCAAAGTACATCGAGTATCATTTACAAGCAAAACCCACAACTAATGTCGGCAATGCCAGTAATTATGCAGACTGCACTGGCAGTGCTTACAGAAGAGAAGTGGCAGTGCTTACAGAAGAGAAACTAACAAATGAATAGGATTCAGTAGATTGAGCCATTGACTGTATCTATGATATATATGGTATATAGATCATTTTACTGAATTGATTCAAAGTCAAAGTTCAATACACATTTCAGACTTTAAACTGACTTGGACAAAAATCCGTTTGTTTTGAGTGAGTCTATACCTTAAATAGGGTTATTTTATTAAAATAAATGATTGAACATTCCATTTTGTCACTATCAAAACACTCAAAACACTACTGAAGAATTACCAAATATTTCAGTAGTGACTGTTTCAGTAGTGAACATTGTAACTCATTTTGAACAGAACTCAAAAACACTGTCCAGTACATGACTAGCAAACACAGAGGTTTCTTAATTGCATGATATATGTGTTTCAGCAGTGACAGGTCTTAATGTTACACACAGATTTTCAGATTTTGAGACACATTTGCTTCAAATCAATGAGATCTAACTGCTCACCGCTTAACCAACAGGGATGCATCTCACTTCCTGCTCTAAGATGTAGGGGTGTGGCTATAATAAGTTCCGCCTATGGACTACAACTACTTGTGTTTCGGTAGTGACATGAAAACGTGGGACAGCAAAGTTTTGTTATTTAAAAATTAAACTCATGATAAATCTAAATCTGATTTATGAAGAATCAAAAACATCTTCAAAAGAAAACATTTAAAAAATGTAAGTATTATTTTCTCCTTCTATCTGTCTTTCTTTTTGTCCTGTCCTCTCTCTCTATCCATCTATTTCTTTCTTTCTCTCTATCTCTATCTCTCTGTCTCTATCTCTCTCTGTCTCTCTCTTTATATCTCTCTATCTCTTGCTCTCAATCTCTCTCTATCTCTCTCTGTCTCTCTCTTTATATCTCTCTCTATCTTGCGCTCGATGTCGGTCTTTATATTTCTTTCTCAATCTCAATCTCTGTCTTGCTCTCTCTCTCCATCTCTCTCTCTCTCTCTCTCTCTCTCTCTCTCTCTCTCTCTCTCTCTCTCACTCTCTCTGTAGCTGTTATGCAGTGTGGGTATGGAGCGTTGGTGTGTGAGAGCACTGTTGGCTGTTTACCGCAACACAGGCGATGTGATGGTACTGTAGACTGCCCTCCCTTTAACCCTGACGAGTCCAGCTGCTATGGTAATACATACACACACATACACACATTCCGCACACCATCAATAAGTCATCAATTTGTTACATTTGCTTTCCATTTGTTCATGTGCTCTCATACACAAAACAAAATTCAGCCTGTTCTGATCACATTAACAGTACAGGTGCAGCAGCTCCTTCTTGCATTTTCTGTTCTGCATATGATGCAACTTTTTGCGTGAATTGTTGTCATATTGCTAACAGCTACTGTCAACCAGCTCAATTTAGCATGCATGGAGTCACATACAGAACCAGTAAAACATTTAGAAATAATGAATGTATAATCATAAAGACACTTTGGTCTACAGGCTTAATGTACATGCTTTAAATTTGTTTCTAAAGTCAGACAGGATTTGTCTTACGGGACAAATTGTCTTCTTTGTGAAGTAGTTAACACAGGAAATCTGTAATATTCAGGCTAGATTTGCACAGGATAAGAGGTGGATCCTGGCCATTTAAGGGGTCAAATGCAATGAAGAAAAACTGTAAGCTGTGCATAAAACTTTTGGCTGCTCACAAGTAAACATGTTCTAACTAAAGATGGCACTGTATCATTTCAATATCAGCAAAAAATGACTGGATATCAGAGGAAAAAAGAATGAATGTGATCCACTGTAACAGACCTATCCTGAAACAGCACAGATTCACACTGTGTGATGTTGTTAGTGTGTAGTTCTTCCTGTAGGGAAGTGGAGTGTTTGAGTAGTTTAAGTATGATAGCCTACTTTTAGATGATCATCTTAAGTGATGTGCATCAGTTAAAAATATATCATTTTAAAGCTTAGGAAATTTTAAAAGATAAAGATATTCACACAAGTAAATGCCTCAAGTGTCCCCATACATCAGAAAAAATGTTAGTAATGTCTTTGCCCACAAAAAAATGTGATGTAATGTTTACCAACATGTCATTTCACACAGGATTAATATAAACTAGGCTTAGTCCTACAATTCATTTGAGCTGCAGCGGCCTTTCCAGATAGGACAGCACAAAGTCCTTTGAAACAGAAAAAAACACATAATATTATAATAAATACAAATAACATTGATACAGTAAGTAGTGATTTCATGTTTTGGAATGCGTTTAACCATTTCCAAAGCTCTCCTCAAGGAAGCATACGATATTCTTAGGTGGCTAAAACTTTTGCACAGTACTGTGTGTAAGAGTGGACAGAGGGTGTAGAAAATAACAGAAACACCACATGCTTATGTACTTAACTACTTACATTAGTATCATCTACCCTGTTGGTGCACTTTGTAGATTTACAGTTACTGACTGTAAGCCTGCTGCTGCTGTGCAATTCATCAGCCCCCTTTAACCCATCCATCAATGGAAAAAGACCACCATTCAGTGTTAGGTGTGAGGATATAAGTGTAATAGTGAAATATAACAGTAATATTGGTGGCAGTGATCTATGGCATTAACTAAATATCATTCCTTGCTAGGCATTTTCAACTTCCTCTTCTTAAAACTGTAGGCATCTGATGCCCATGGATATGACTACTGTATAGCACGAACTGTTGGAGTGAGTCAGGTTGAGTAGGAGGGTTCGCTTCGGGAGAAAAAGACGAGACTTGGTAACATAGGAAAGAACAGACATGGCTGATCCTGAGACAGGGAGAGGTCAAGTTTAAAATTATATCCATATAAAATTATGTAAATTAACTCTGCTTACTTTATATGCAAACTTTAAGTGCAAACAGAAACAGGCAGATAGCAAAAACCCACTGCAGACACTGCTTTCTGGTGTTTGTTAAAGCTCGGCTGTTCTACTTCATTTGACTGTAATCTTTGCCAATAATGCCACAACAAATTCCTCGAGGCTGACGGTCAAAAGACTTGAAAATTGACTTGAATTTGTAACTGAAGCGTTTTATATGAGATCAGAAATGAAGCAACAGCGTAAGATTTCATATTTCATATCACGCATTGACAAATGCAGTATTTGCTGTGAGAATAAGTGGTGATGTGGGAGCCACCAGCAACTGATTACTTTTGGCAGTGATTAGTAACTGTGCGTGAGTGTGGCTGTGCAGAAACATTTGTATGTGTCTGGTTTACAGAGTGCCCTTTCGCTTACTGCCTCAATGCTGGAACGTGTGTAGTAGGAAACCATGGGCTTGGGTGCATGTAAGTAATACACAGACACGCATGTTCAACTTTATACTTTAAAGGAATTTTCCACTGTGTTCTCATTCTGCTCTGTCTGTATGTTAGCATTGATCACCACTAACACTAATTTAGAAATGTTTCTCTGTACTTGTTGACCCAAAACCCACTTACAGTAGAAGCAGCTGAATTCTGTTGTTTGAAATACAGGACGCTATAATGCAAATTCGAAACTGCAACCTTTATGCTCCAACAATGCAGGTCTTAGAATGATACAGATATGAGACAAATCTATTCTTATGAAGTTTACCTAACTTTCAAACACTGGAGGAACATGGTACAGAGGTTATAGAAACCAGGGGTCCTAATGTCTACAATGCAAATAGTATCATTTTATTTAATATCCAAAGTGAGTAGTGAACCAATACATGTCTTCTGAGTTTTTATATGAAAAAAGAAAGCTTTCTTTGAATACTAAATTACTGGTCGATGCCCTGCATGTACCCCTACACCATGAATATATTTACAATATACTTGCATTAATACCTTAATTAAGTGTATTGTATTAAAAAAAAGTTTAAACATTACATTTTGTCACTACTGAAAAAATATATAACAATACCGAAAACGTACCAGATGTTTCAATAGTGACTGTTTCAGTAGTTATAATTTTAGCTAATTTTGAGCAGAAGTCAAAAGTGCTAGCCAGTACATGACTAGCAAACACAGCTTTGAATAGTTGTACACACATAAAATCACTATATTTTTCTTTAAAAGACAAGAAAATTTGCTTAACTGCAGAAAATGTGTTTCAGTAGTGACAATTCTTAATTTTACACACTGATTTTCAGACTTTGGGACACATTTACTTCAAAACAATGGGATCTAACTTCTCACCACATGGCCATAAGGGACAGGGATGCAGTCTCACTTCCTGCTGTAAATGCAGGGGTGTGGCTGAAATAAGGCTCCACCCATGAACTATAACTCTTTGCTTTGGTAGTCACATGAAAAACATTCAACTCAAATTTTGAGGTTAAGGTTTGTGACAGACACCTCCCAAAAGAAAATACCCTATAAATAGTGTGTATGTATGTATGTATGTATGTACATGTGCAACACTAAAGAAACACAAACTTCACACTTTTTGTCTCGCCTGTTCAAGTGCGTTTGGGGTACATTTGGAGGAAACGCGTGAGTTAGATTTTTTTTCCCGAGCTTACATTAAGGCCTGGGTCATGTTACCCAGTGTGAGGTTTCTACAGTGAATTACTGTATTTATGCTATCCCACAATGCCAAGTGAATGTCACACTGAAATGTAAGTTGATCACGGGGCAAGGGCTCTGAGTTTAAACATGAGCTTTCAGAGCACTGCCAAAGCATTGAGTCTGAGATTACACCGCTGCCCCTGCCAAGGAACAAAATCTTACTCTCTCTCTCATGATCTCTCTATCTCTCTCTCTCTGTCTCTTGATTCTGAGGTGGCACTGTCAGTCAGCCAAGCAGCCGAACACTCGCAGCACTTATTGATAAACCATAAGAGCTGCTTACACCTCATAGCAAGGTCATAAGGCTGTGTGTGTGTGTGAGAGAGAGAGAGAAAGAGAGAGGGCACACAGAGGTTGTGCACTCTGCAGGCAGTAAAAGAATGCCAAATAGCTTTTGTTTGTAATCTGCATTCTGTGCAGTGAGGGTTTGTTGTGAGAGTTTATTACTTATTATAGACCAAACAAACATTTTTATTCAGATGTTTCTTTATGTAGGTTTATTCTTAAGTGAACTTCTTTACTGTGTGTGTGATTTAGAAGCAGTGTACACTGTTGGCGTTTGTCAATAGGACATGTGCTGATATTCGGTAATTCAGTAAAGCGTGATATTAAACGCACAGTAATGTTAACATGGACTTTGAAATACCTTCACTGACTACAGTTAAGTCAGACAAGTTGCAGTTTCACCACAGATTTTTTTGGAGACGCAGAGCATCTCTGCTTTCACAAGCTTCCACTGTGCTCTCACGCAGCCCATTTCAACCACTTAGAGGAGAAAAAAAATCATGTTTTTTCTCCTTCTCTTTTTCTAGCAGCAGTATGTCAAAATGACTTATTTTCATGAAACACTGGTATGGTATCTCAAATTAATGACTTATGTTTGCTTCATATTTGCTTCATTTCTCAAAAAAATGACTGATTTTGAGATACTTTGTCAAAATGTTGAGTAACTTAATTTTGACATAGTAAGTCATTATTTTGACAAAGTCAATATTTTAAGAAATTGTTATTGTTTCAACTTATTAAGTCAATATTTTGGAAAAAATAAGCCATTGTTCATACCTTCTAAGTCAATGAAAATGAGTTATTGAGATACTGAGTCAACATTTTGAAAAAGTATGTCATTATTTTGAGATGTTCAGTCTAAATTTTGAGAAAGTGAGTGAATATTTTGAGACTGCAGAACTGCAGAAGTGGTTTAAATTGCTCTAATGGAGACAATTATGACCAAAATAGTACTATTATTATTAGTAGTAGTAATAGGAAAATAGTAAGTTGGCCTGGCAAGTCACTGCAGTAAGACCCTAACCCTAATAACACACTTTTGAATTCAGCTTGTTTCCAATTTTATGGAGGCAAACTTCAGTTCTGGTGCTGGTCTCACTTGTCTGCCCAAAGAGAACAAGCAAAACACAGCCATAGTAACCAGCAGTTGACAAGGTTGGTGTTCAGGGTGTGTCAAATACACTGTTGATGCAGTTTCGGCTGCTGAGCTGGTTGTTAAATAGTACCTTGTTGTTATGAAGGGTATGTTTACTATGGTTTCTGCAACTGGTATGACTAAAATGATGGTATTTCAAAGCATCCATGATATCAGTTTGATGTGTGTTGGATTTTGTGGTACACTTTATTACTGAATATTGGCTCAAGTCTCGTCCACTGGTGTAAGAGTAGCAGTGATCCTGCTGGATTTCACAGCTGCTGCCACAATATGTTCATTTCTTTGCTGTTCAGCTGTCGATCAGGATGGACCGGCAGCCGTTGCCATGTGCAACAAAAGCCAGCCCCGCCCACTCCTTCTGATGTGATTCCTGTGATTCCAGACACTGAACTAGGTAGGTGTGTGTACAAGAATGCAGTGTGTAAAAATAGCTAAATAATCACTGGATATGTCATTGTGTGTGTGTGTGTGTGTGTGTGTGTGTGTGTGTGTGTGTGTGTGTGTGTGTGCGTGCATGTATCAGTGGCAGTGTACGCTGGTGTGGGTATAGCAGTGATCCTACTGGCTATTGCAGTTGCTGTCACAATACTCTTCTTCCTACAAAGAAAATACACAGCTAAGTAAGTTTACATACATTGATTATATTTGTATGCCAGTAATAATAATAATAATAATAATAATAATAATAATAATAGTCATTTTTACATATTACTTTATTAATATCACTTTTCATGTGGTTGAAATTTTCAGATTAAATCAAGTTTACAGTTGTATACAAAGGTTTGGGTGCCCCAGTCACAATATATTTTTTTTTTATATAGTTCTGTTGACTTTCAAAGTGAAAAAAGTTACACATCCTCTACAGAGAACACATTTCTGCACATTTTAATGCACTATTACTGTGACAATATTGTACTATTCTGAAATTATGGCACATTTTATAGTTTATTTTTTTCTAATATGTTAAATAAACATTTTGCAATTAGATTTGCAGAAAAAATATTTTCTCTATAGAGGATATTTACCTTACAAAATCAACAAAACATCGATTTGACCAGTGTTCAAATGTGTGCATATGACTGTTTTTATGCTAATATTATTTTGTTTATTGTTGTTGTTTACTATGTTTTTGGCTGGTCAGAGGTTCCAGCTTAATTGCCAATGAGGAAATGGACAATTCTGGTCACTGGGGAGCAGAGGTCAGCCACAAAATGAATTTTAATGAGTGCATTTTATACTTTTATACAATTTATAAACTCATTTTCTCATGCAGTATGTTTGATTTACATGCTACATAAACATCATCTAAATATACTTAAGCACAGAAACTTATTCAGTAGTTTAGTGTGAAGTCATTGCAATGCAATGTGCAGTGCTTGCATAGACTCTATAGCAGCACATATTATTATCCGTACTGAGTTATTGGGGTTTGCTGTCTAACAGTGTAATCAATGGTTCAGTTTCCAGATGTGAAAGCCAGAGCCTTTAAGTCCAGTTGGAGTAAATTTCCCAAGCTTGCCATCAGTGTTTATCCATGGAGAGATGAACTAGAGGTATGGCTGCTTACACACACACACCTCAACACACACATACACTACTGTTCAAAAGTTTGGAATCACTTCTTCAATTTCTTGCAGGTACATGAATCAGTTGATTTTATTTGTTTGGTGTTAGTACTCCACAGCTTTATAGGTCGTAGATTATTAGGTTATTTGTGTGAAGAAGCTAGATGTGTCCAGGATGAACGGAGCTATATGTGATTCTAAAATGACTAACAATCTTTATCACATTGGGGAAAAAAATAGCATTCAGAATGTTTTGTATTTGAAAAATGTATGTTCCAGTCTCTCTTTGTCCCGTTAGAATTGAACCTAAAATCACAGGCTTCTTATGTACTAATGCTTATAACTCAGTAACTATAGGGACTTGGATCCAATCTAGCTGAGCTATTTTTAGGTTTTAGGAGTGTGTAATAAACCTTTGGGCACACCAGGGGGCCCTGGCCATTTAAGGGTTTAAACAGGCTGTTTCTGTTACTGTGCCTTTAAGGCTGATGTCTGTAAATGAGCTCTGTTCTGATTGGCTGCCCTGTATAGTGCCTCATTTAGAAAGCAGTCCAGGCAGAAACACTCCTTATAACTTCAGTGTGAAGGGCTAAAGTGCTGTATGCTGAGTAGGAGGATATATGTAAATCTGTTGGTTTTGTGACATCACAGAAACAGTGGATTCAAAACATGCTGTTTTTTAAGCTTAGTTTCCACATATGGACTGTATGGATGGAGGTGTGAATGGCATGTTTTAAATCTTTAACAATGTTTATATATTACATTAAAGTGAAGAAACAATCAATTTTCCATGATACAAGCCCTTTAATAAATTACTGTAAGTATATAATTACAGTATAACACTGAAAAACATCTTGCTGTTCCCAAAAAACTTGAAATATTGAATAAAACATATTGAAATATCATCTAGATTGTATAATATTTCAGTCTATGTTCAGTTATAACTGAGTAAAATTACAATAATTATTAAGGCAAGTGATTCCAAACTCTTGAACAGGAGAGTACATATGCAAATGATCATTGTATGGATTTGAAATGTAAAAGTCTTGTGTAGTAGGTGGTGCTATGCATCGTTTAAGTGGTTAACTACAGCCTTAGTAAATAAACATTCATTTCAAATGCATTGTGAGCACATATTCCTGCCTCAATAAGGCACATCATGCAGGGACAGCTGTCCTTGGAGTTCAAAATGGATTCAAACTAAAAAATCCTCGCAGAGCAGTATCCGGTCTTATAGGCAATACATTTGCTGAGACATGAGGATGCATGAAATGTACAAACACGCCACCATGATGGTGACAGGCAGTGTGCTTCCCTGAGAGACTCTGGCTGAAGCTGATTTCATCTGAATTCTGAGTTTCTGCTGCTGGTGTCGCTAACGTTTTCAAAACCTGGGTGATGTAAAAACTGATGTCTCCTGAAAACATTCAAAGTCTTTCCTGCAGCTGGAATGTAGGAAAAAGATTTTGATGGTCAAGAAGACAGGATAACTGTCGAGCATCACGGCAAGAGATGCTGTACAGAACACCAACCAAAACGCAAGACATGGAAGAATATAAAACCTGTAAAAAAAGGTACCAGACAACTGAGCCATAGCACATCTGTCATCATGATATGCTGAAGAAACATGACTGTCCTGTTTCAGGAAAAAGGTAATAGAATAAGTTCATTTTGAGAAAAGTTTGAATTAAAAGGCCTAAAAGCCTAAAGTTTTAAAATTTCAAATATAAAAGATTTCTGAAATAAAAAGTAATAACTAACTGAATAAATGAACCTTATGTACTCAATCGTTAACATGTTATTTAAAAAAAAAAAATCATTACCAAGTTTATTTAAAGTAAAATAATGTTCTTAGTATTGTGTTTATAGCAGTGGCGAACCATGTCTATTAGAGCCAGGCCAACAATTTGGGCTATAAATGTCAAGACTCGGTCAAAGCATGAGGAAAAACCCACCACACTGATAATGCTAATTTCTGCTAGCATCTCTATGGGAAACTAATTGTTTGTTAGCGCCAAGCTAACATTTGCATGAACACTTTTTGATGAGGCTGAAGTTAGCATCTCATTCTGATTTTTAATTCCACCTTAAACGGTGCATTAAGCCACCAGAATGTAACTGCTGCATCATTTAAGGTAGAAAGAAAAATTCAAAAAAGGCAGTTCTCGATTAAACACAGATATTTGCAGCTTCTAAAAGACATAACATTTTTTGTGACAGACATATTAGCATATATTTAACCTTGTAGCAGTTTCACAGCGACTCTTTCAGTAGCGAGCTCTTGCGTAGAGCTGCTTCTGCTGTTTTTTCCGTTTCTGCTTCTTCATGACCATTGTTTGAGTTACCGCTCGTATTCAGTCAGTGACATATCTAAGACTTCCAAAAAGTGACATTTGACAAGTGACATTTTATCTCACAAACTATTGGAAATGAAAACATGATTGGTTGATTTCCCTGTCACTGTAATTATGCTGATAGTAGCCTAGCTACCTATGTTAAGACTTCTCTTCAGCACAAGTCCTGACCAATAGAAGAGCTTGTTTAGATATATCTACCTAGATACCACAGAGAGAAGCAATTCCTAAATGGCTAATCTTCTGCTTGGCATTTCAAGAATTTAACCCTTTTGTATCCACCCTATACTTAACGACAACACAAGAGTAGTACTGTAATTTTTGCAAGGTTAAAAACAAGCATGAGTCTATTGAATAAAAATTAACCAAAAATTACACACTTTTTTTGTTCCCAGAAAAAGGCCTAGAAGGCATGGAGCGTTCCCCTCTGGTTTATATCCACTTAATATTTCAGCTCAGTTTAGTCTTTCTGTAAACTGCTTAACTCAATATTTAAGATGTCTAGAGTCTTATGGGGCTTAGAAAACTATAAAAATGCATAAATTCAATTAAAGGACTTGTTGGCATACAAGGGGGATTCCAGCCAATCTCCAAATAATAAAGCACAGTATACATATTTATAGCCCAATTCTGATCCATACCTGCGACTTTGAGACCTGACAAAACCAGGTCTGACCGATACTGCTGAATCTGAAACCCAAACCGGAACCTAATCTTATGCACTAACAGAGATCTATTATTGCAGATACGGTTTTACGGAGATTTTCTTTGTTACTAAGTGCTTTATCGGCATTAAACGGACACACTTATCTGAAAGCCGAGCGGTTGCTGTAGCTGACATTGACGTAGCTGGTGGGAGGAAGTACTCTGACACTGGTATTTGTCTCTGGCTAGTAACTTCTGCAGAGCAGCTGCACGCACAGTAAATGTGTCACCGAAGAGAAGATGTGCCAGTCCTCCTGCAGTCATAGCTCACAAGCACCACACCATACATGATCAGTCTCATATTTATCTGATGTAATAACCAAGTCATAATGTTTCTACAGTGAAGATGTCCCTCACTTGTTTGGAATATTAAACAGGAGTCAGTCTCACAAGGCCAAGCGTGATCTCGTAATGAGAACATCTGAGGACAACCATGAGAAATGTTGGCTTAAGTGTGGAAATGTGGACTTACACTATATGGCCAAAGGTATTTGGACACCGCTCCAAATTATATGGAAGCATCTGTGAGCAACAACAGCTCAGCCATGTGCAGCCACTGAAGCACGTAACACATAAAAATAGCCTGTCCTCTGTTGCAAACTTCCTCTGGAAGCAACATCAGCACAAGAATTGTGGGTCGAGAGCTTCATAAAATGGGTTTCCATATGCAATGTCAAGTGTTGGCTGAAGTGGTGTTCTCTGGAGTGATGAACCACACTTTAATATCTGGCAGTCTCATGGACAAATCTTGGTTTGGTGCCTGCCAGGAGAGCATAACCTAAAGTTAGCCAACAGTAGTGCCAACAGTAAAGTTTGGTGGAGGAGGGATAATGGTCTGGGGCTGTTTATCGGGGTTTGGGCTAGACCCCTTAGTTCCAGTGAAGGAGTGTTAATGCTACATCACGAAAATATATTTTAGACAATTATATGCTTCCAACTCTGTGGCAACAGTTTGCGGAAGGTCTTTTCCTATTCCAGCGTGACTGTGCCCCTGTGCACAAAGCGTGATCTATAAACACGTGGTTTGATAAGTTTGGTGTGGAGGAACTCCAGTGGCCTGCACAGAGCTCCTTTGGGATGAATTGGAATGTTGATTGTGTTGGCTGAGGTCAGGCACAAATGCTCTTTTGACTGAATGGTCACAAATTCCCACAGACACATTCCAAAACCTGAAAAGCCTTCCCAGAAGAGTGGAGGATGTTATACCTGCAAAGGGGGGCAACTCCATATTAAAGCCCATGGTTTTGGAAAGAGATGTCCAACAAGGTCATGTATGTGACGTGGTGAGGTATCTACATACTTTTGGCCATGTAGTGTATCAGGGTGGGAACAAACAGAGTGAGAAATTTTCAAGCCAATCCAACACTTGATTAAGATGGAGCTAAAAGTACGGGTCATCATTGTCCACTTGCCATTAGCCCAATCAATGTAATGTATGTTAGCATGCTGAAAAGTCCCCCAGAGGCACTAGTTGAGCATGTAGTTGTGTTGAGTGTGTGTAGAACACTTGACAGCTTTGCGCAAGCTAGTTGTTTTGCTTGTGTTGTTGACTGTACTTTGGACATAAAAAGAACATGAAGAGGAATTTAGGGGAAAGTTTTAGCAGGGCCGTGCTGTTGTTAGCAACAGATTTGACCTCAGTCCAGCACAGTCCAGCACAAGTTGTCATCAGAGGTGTATTCTTGTTATGAGATCACATATGGTCCAGTAGTAAGTTTAGATTCACAACAAAATAAGACATTTATTATCGAGGCATTATATGATGCATGGGATTTTTGTTTTGTATATTCGTAAATATTTGGAAAGCAATTCTTTTGGCTCTATATTCCAGCACATTGGATTTTATATAATGACCATCAGCTTAAAATCAAGCTGATCAGAAAAGTCAGCTTTAAGTCATTGGTCAACCTTTTATATCAAGTTTTTATGCAGGACTACTGTGGACATTCACTTTGTTTTCTTATCAATGGGTCTCATTTCAGGAATGCAAAACCAAGTATGAATGAGATTTGAGGGAAATATTTCATCGTACTGAAAGCAATACCTGTGTACTTGAATTCCTTCCAAAGCTCACATAGTGTGCCTGTTTTTGTTTGTCACTTTCAGTGTCCTGCCAAACCGTCTTTCTCCAACCCACTCTATGAGGAAAGCAGAAGCTCTGAGGCCTGAGGATACACACATGCACAGAAAAAAACTCACACAATGGCACTACATGCCCTTGTGGATATACTTTCCATGTAATCTAAATCTTCTTGGCTGCATGACTGTACTTGTACAGTGTCCAAAACCTGTAAACAACAAAAAAAGGAAAGATCTATGAATATTTAATTTCTTTAACTCTCATGGGAAAACACTGAGAGCAACTGCAAATTATCAGCTTATTACTCAACATTTTATTGCCTACATTCAAGCCTTTGGAGAGAAGAGAGTTGCCATGTTAAGTACTAGGCTTATATAAGTCCATAATTCTTCAACAAAGATTATAAATCTTCTGTTTATTTTCTTCTGTGTTTAACATGTGTGGTTTTCATATTATTCATATAACAGACTCGGTTACGCTCTACTGCAAAACATGGGTTTCATTTCAGATCTAAATCATTTTCTGTTGAACACCAATAAAAGTGGACCTGCCACCAAATCCAGTACTGGATTTCAATTATTCTCTCTCTCTTCTTAGAACTAGCCTTCACTAATAAATTCACAACATGTGGTGATCCTGCTTCCAAACTAATCTCTTAACATGAATTTTTATTACATTCAGGAAATGACATGCTTAGCATCAACTTTATGAGAAACACTACCTTATACTTCCTAGCACTGACCACGTTGTAAGCTCTGCCTACCTTATAGCTTCTACAGGTGGGCTCTGTTGCCACACACAGTTTATCAGCCTCTACGCTATCCATCGATGGTCAGTGTCTGACTACAGAAGAGCTGTAGACCAGGTATTATTTAAATGGGGAGCCTTTCTTATTACAGCAGTGAGGCTGACATTGTAGCTTCATGGTAATATGTGTGGTGCTGTTATAAGGGAATTAGACATAGGGACTTTCATAGAGCACACATATCCAGCCAAGAGCAGCTCTGTGATCAGGAAACACCATATATATCTATAAGAGATCTGCACCATATAGATCCATGTATGGTAAACTACAGCTATCTTTGGGAGATCTGTGCTAGATAGATTCATACACTGTAGATCTGTATAATAGATCCACACCATATAGATCCAAATACCATAGATGTCTAAAGGAGTCCTATGCCATATAGATCCATATACTATGGAAATCTACAGGAGATCTACACTATATAGATGTATATACCGTAAATATTTATAGGGGATCTACAATCAATATTAACTAGATTCATTTACCATAGATATCAATGGAGGATCTACACCATATAGATTCATATACCATAGAGATCAATGGAAAATCAATACCACATAGATCTATATACCATAGATATCTGAAGAGGATCTACACCATAAAGAACTATATATCATTAAGAGCTGTAGACAATCTATGGATCCATATAGGATTATAACATATAGTAGATCTATAGGAGATCCAAACCATATGGATCTATATACCATAGAGATCAACTGAAAATCAATACCTTGTGGATCCATCTAGTATAAAGATCTATTGATGTTTACACCATATAGATCCATTTACCAAAGAAATCTGTTTGATTCCCTATCATGCACTCAGTGAACTTTGCTAAGAGGTTATATAAGTGAACCAAGGTCAAATGTCTGTCTGGCTCTCTAGATCTTGTGGATCCTAGCCACACAACAAACAGTGGTCATCTATAATACAGCTTAAATGTTTAGTCAGCACTTCAGTTTCATTTGTGCCCCTATTGAGTTAAAGCCTGAACAAGCACACAAACACACACACACACATTCTCTCTTGTCTCATTTACCCACATTCACGTGACTCTCAGCTGACTGTAAAAACGCAGCCACGATGATTCAGCCCCTTTCGCCATTTCTTTCATTCTTTGTTTTTTTCCCCTCTTTCTCTTTCAGTAGAGTCTCTGGAAGGCTCGTTTTTCACTGCGACTGAATTAGGGGGTGAGGAATATTGTGGAAAAAGAGGAGGGGGTCCCTCACACCTGCTTTTCAGAACATTTTATTCCTGTTCTGCTCAAATGCTGTGTAAACACCTTTCATAAGGTTAAATGTGTGTTTCTGTGTGTGTGTGTCTGTCTATGTGTCTGAATAAGTGCGTGTGTGTATGTGTGAGTATGTGTGTGTAAGACTGTCTGATGAATTCATCACACCATCTCTGTCTAAAGAAAAACAATGATCTCCAAAGTGATAACTTTACAGGAGCAAAAGCGTTCTTTACTTTGAATGTAAGTCAATGTAAAGAAATGTCATTTCATTTAACCCCTTAAATGGCCAGGGCCCACCAGCAAGCCCAAAGTTCTATTACACACTTCTAAAACCTAAGAATAGCTTGCATTGAAGTCACCATAGTCACCGAGTAATAAGCCTTAGAATGTAATAAGCCTGACATTTTACGGGGTTAATTTGGAGCATTTCTATTGGTCCATACATCAATTTTTACACAATGTAAAGGACATCTACTGAGCTCAAACGATATATAAAAAAAAGATACTTTATTTAGACGGTGACAATATGTTCTATTTAAATCATACAGACTGAGCTGAAACAACTGCTTTATTGTAAGTAGGCACACACATACTTAGTGGAAAGAGCCTCAGGAAGAATCTTCAATTTACTTCTTTCTCAGTTTTCCCTCCCATTCTCTCATTAATACTTTGTTTCTTCTTCCTCTAAAGACTTTTGTGTGCTGTCCCCCTTATCGAGCTCATAGTAATGCTCCAGGATGGGTGTCTACTCCCTCATAGACAACTTCAGAGGATAAAACCCTACTGGTGTTGTAATTTACAGCTAGAAAAAAGACTCAGGGTCATAGCCTGGATGTACACATCAAAGTTCTGTCACAGGCGCTGCCCTCAATAATAATTACACACTGCATGGCACTTTTGTTATTGCATTATGGAGAGGTTGGTTCACACAGGACTACTAATAATTATCAACCAGAAATCAAACCTGACCTTTTTTCCTCGTTAGTTCATGTCGCTGGTCATATTAAGCCCTATCCACCATATAATTTAAAAGACAAACATCTTGTTTTCCCATAATTTTCCTTCAAAATACAGTGCCTTTTCCCATCTATAGAAGTCTTCTGAGTTTTCATTACATCGCTGTGCACCAGTGGGTGGGGAAATATAATGTTAACCAATAATATTATGTTTCACCTCCCTCACGTCCTCGTACCATTAAGAGAAATCACTCAGCCAGCTCAGAGACCCTCCTTCATACTGTGTTACCTCAGAAAGGCTGTAAAACTTACATTGGAGGTTCATACTAAATTAAAATCACAGATATCATCAGTTATCACTTAACTCAAGCAAAGAGTTATTACTTTTGTTTTGCTATGTTATTCATATGTAATTACATAATAGCTAGTAATTACATAGTTAAAGCTGCACTACATACGTTTTTTTTGTAAAAGAAGAAGCATTACTGAGTCAGAAGAAAAAAAAACTGGCTAAAGTATGGTGTGTTTGCCGCTGTGAGTCGCCCTGTAAAGCCTGAAATTATAATTTTAAAAACAGAGGTGTTAGATAGGATTTCGTAGGAATTTTTCCCACCAATACGTCTTAACATATTGACATCACACACACAGTCTCAAAAAGAAGCTCTTGCTAAATATTTAGGTCTCAAATGCAAAATCTTTCACATGTTGAGTGCAATTACACATTTCCACCAGAGAGGTCTCCAAATCCCCAAAACGTACATAGTGTAGTTTTGAGTAAGGAATTACACTTATGTTCTGTATTGACAGATTCAAGTCTTCACTTCTCACATTTTACTGTTTGCTTTGATGTCAAGAAATGGCAAAAACATTGCAAACACATTTTTATCAATTTAAAACAGAAAAACATCTGCCCTCCTCCTTACAAACACAAATGCATTGATTCAAAGTTTAAAATATGCACTTTCAGCAGAGTTTCTCTGCTGATTTCACTAAGGTATAGGTGAGAAATTATTAATAGCTACTCATACTTTTATGCACCAGCAATTTCTGTGACTTAGTTGGTTACATTAGAGAAGCTCTCCAGGTAAAACTACATCAGCTTGAAACAATGGCAGACTCCCCAAGTACTGTATATTGAATTAGGCGTAGTTTGGCTTAGCCCAAACGACACTGCGGGGACCTGCTCCCATGCGATACAGACCCAGTTCTTGGAGTTGGAGCTTGAGAAAGCCTCTATCTGTTTATGATACAACACTAAGACTGCAATAACAGAGAGAACAGGAGAAGAGCAGTGTGGTGGAGAGTCAGCCAGAGAGAGAGAATGCACACCAGCATGACGTGAAGTCTGAGTGTGTCTCTAAGGACTGCGTCCCCAGGTAGCGGACACTTCTCCAGACCTCAGTGAAATTCATGCGATGTGTTCAGCCTGGTTACCTGTCAGCCTCTCTCTCAGTGTGTCACATAATGAGCACTGGCTCAACTGCCTGCTGCTCCCTGTTTTCCTCAATAAAACTTTTCCAAAGTGACACTAAACGCCTTAAGGCTGGGTTTCAGTGTCTTCTGCATATTGGCCTGTGGAGTGTGGGTCTCAGACATGTTCATGCAGGCTTGTAGAGGTTTATAGTTCACAGTCTAGACCAGGGTTGGCAAAACTTTTCATCTTGTGGGGCCAAAGTGCAATGCTGGGGTGGGCTATAGGCCAAAAAAACAGACAGGCGCACAAATGAAGAGAATTTAACAATTTATATATATTCACTGTCCAAAGGAAAAACTGTATCTCTGAAGTGGCAACTTTACAGAAGAGGGCAAAAATGTTCTTTACTTTCAATGTAAGGTATTGTAAAGAGATTTTACAAATCTATTTATAAATATTAGTATTTCTTTTTGTCCATTCATCATGAAATTTTCACACATGTACAGGACAGCTGCTGAGCTCAAATTATACAGAAAACAAAGCGGTGATTAATAAATTTAGTTTGACTTGTTTTCAATTGAAAACAGTACGAAAACATGAACAATATTTCATATTTCATATCATGTTTCATATCTCTTTCAAATATACACTCATTCCAAATTTGATGTCTGCAACAAGTTCCAAAAAAGTTGGGGCAGGAGCATGTTTACCACTGTGTTACACCAACTTTTCTTTTAACAGCACTTATTGATCATTTGGGGACTGAAGATTTAAACTGATCCATATTTGAAAGCTGATATTTTTTTTCGCCATTATTCTGCTAGACAAGGTTTATGTGCACAACTGTAGAGGCCTTCATTGTTGTATTTTGAACTTTATAATGTGCCACACATTCTTGCTCATAAAAACTAGGTTTGTCCTGGATGCTCCTTTTATACTCAAACATGATTGCATCACCTGTTTAAGATGTTTTTTGAACAGTTCACAATGTTCCTAGTTTTAAATTGCACTCGGTTGTTAGTTGATAAGGAAAATCATTACAGGTCTTGCCTTTATACTGTTTTCGTTACATACAATTAAAGTAGACTATAAATCTATAAAATGCTTTGTGTTTTGATTTGCATTTAACATACTGTTCCAACTTTTGTCCTATTAAATCTTCTCTCATGAGTAGCTTTGGGGGTTTATGGTTAGGGTAACTTGCCAAATCAAAAAGTCCTCATGGGCCGACTTCAGCCTGAAGGCCATTTGGGCTGCAACGGACTAGACAGACTGCAGCCCAGATATTCATTGCATACATATTGAACACTAAATCATTCAGTGCGGGCCTGCTGCGGCTGCTGTAGATTTGTATACTGACTGAAAATACGGTGCACCATAACATCTGTGTTTTTATGTAATAGAAACAGTCATAGTTCATTTTTTCATGTCTATTTTCTGACCCTTATAGTTAAACAGACTGTTCTTGTTGCCTTGCCAGTCCAAGCTGAAATGTATGCAACAAATGTAAAAAATAAACTTCCTTACAAATAAGCCACTCCTTTCAGGTAAATTGGCAGAATGGGCAGTCAAATGTAAGTGTGTTGATGGTTGTGACATCACAAACATGATAAATTTACAATAAGGCATTTTGGCAGAGTGTGCAGTGCATTACCAAACTTCATGTTTACATTCTACATCAAACCTCTTTATTTACAAGAATAGTTGTTTTTCCATTGTATAAGCAAATATTTTCTATAATGTATTAATTCATTGATCAATTAATTAACTGATTTATTAACTGATTAATTGGTTAATTAAAGGAATACGTACATGGATGTCAAATATGGATCCAAAATACAACACAAATATCAGTCCAATATCAGAAAACCAGATGTTTATATGTTGTTTATATGTTGTTTGTATGTGTTCCTCTGGGTTCAACTTTGATAGATGTCATAATCAAAAAATATGTATACATATAGTCATATGCAAAAGTTTGAACACCCCTAGTCAGATGTGTACATGTTTTATTGATTTTCTAAAGTGAAAATGATACATCCTCTACAGGGAACAAACACAAATCTGGCATTTTATGCCAATTTTATTGCATTTCTATTTATTTGCTGAGTTTAACATATTGGAAAAAAATAAAGCATGAAATCTAAAATGTGCCATAACTTTTGCACAGGCTATATATATTTTTTTTCCAATGAGATAAATTCATTAAATAAACAGTAATTGTGTATTAAAATGTGCATGTGTGTGTTCTCATTTGCCCAACTATTGTAAATTAAAAAAAGGCCTTTTTTATATTTTTACTTTAACGATTGAGTAATTGTTAATGGAAATCGCTGAGACTCTCATACCTTTTTCCATCTGGGCGTCATTTGAAATGATTGACTGGTCACAGAGGTCCACGCTGTGAGATTTGAACTTCAGAGGGAACGTTGGAGGATTTTATGTGAAACTGGCTCAGAAAGGCACGCTGCTGTCTCGCCACAGAAAAGCCCTATCAAAGGGCTCCGGTCATAAAAGCTAACACCAGAATCCAAATTCAATTTATCCAAGACCAGCGCTTTCGCTTAGCATTTTAATGTGGCTGGGCCTTTTCCACAGCTACATCATAAAGGGTGTTTGAACTGGACTGCTTTCCAGCTTCTCGTCACTAAACAATTTTCCCCGGCAGCTTGTCCTGGCCTGCAGGGCTGATGGGGGCTGGTTAGCGCTCGGGTGGCTCACTGCCTCTTAGGACCCCCAAGGGATTCATGCTGGCAAGCAGAAAGCACAGCACAGGCCCCACTGCCAACCACTAATGACCCCTCTGTCTCTCTCTCTCATTCGCCCAAGGAGGAGAGGAGTGAGCTACTGTTTCTACTCACCTCTACAGCACTTAAAACAGGAGTGCTTAAAGCAAAAAACAGTTTTCAGCAGTTTTCCCCTTTTATGCCAAATGTAGTCAATCAGTCAGGAGTCTGAGATTCTTTAGGTTTGCACTAGAGCTACAAGGCTAATGCTAGCAAGTAATAGAAGCTAATACCACACCAATTAGCACTGTGCAAATTTAAATCGTCACAAACTTGCCTCAAACCATTTTGAGCTGTTCAGTAATCTTAACCCCTTAAAATCACAGGCTTATAACATACTAAGGCTTATTATTCAGTAACTACACAGACTTCTGGGCTATTTTTAGATTATAGAAGTGTATAATTAAACTTTGGCCACACCAATGGGCTCTGGCTATTTAAGAGGTTAATTGGCACCAACAAACACTTACAATTAAGACCACCCGTTATGAAATCGAACAAGACCCTTAACTTTTCCAAAGAGATGGCCAGTACCAAAAGTGTTTATATTATAATTACCTACAAAAGACCAAAAAAAAATCTCCACAAAGTTTGAAGATTTTTTACTGATGCACTGAGTTGAAACAAGAAAAGACAAAAATGATAAGACCAAAATTATTAGCCCTCTGACAATTAATAGTCAATAGTGTAACCTTTCCTACTCACAACTGGCAGCAACCTTTCATTGTAGCTCCTAACTAGGTTGGCACATGTCTCTTGAGCGATCTTATCTCATTCCTCCATGACAAATTGTAACAGCTCTTCCAAATTACATGGCTTTTGGACCGGAACCTTGAGCTCCTGCTGTACATTCTCAATAGGATTGAGATCTGGGCTTTGAGAGGGCCACTAGAGGACCTTGATTTTGGTGTCCTTCAAAAGGTTTTGGACCAACTTGCATGTGGGCTTCTGGTCACTGTGTTGCTGGAAAACCCAACAGCGACCTAAAGCCAGACTGGCAGCAGATATAACATAATCTTCTTTCTTCATGACCCCATGCACTTAAACACGGTTCCTGTGTTTTTTTGTCTGTATTTTTATGGATGTCATACAGTGCCAGAAACCACTCAACTCAAGTTTGTAATAATTGGGCCGGTGAGGAGTGTAAGCAAGCTTCCAGTATTTGTTAGCTACCTCAGCCTCATAGCTCTTTTCTTCAAAACTAAAGAAGTAAACTTTAGAAACCAATCTTGTTTTGGCTGACCGATTACATTTAAGACAAGAGGAAATTGAGTAAATCTAACCTCTCCTTTAAGAGTGTTGCCAAATAAGCTTTATAGAGTGATGTATTTTGTGTGCTGTGTACAGCCACGGTGCTTAAAAAGGCCTTTTCTGAAAGGGCCCACACCCACACCCTACAGTCATACTCTTTTGTAGGCAAGAATAGAATAGGTTAATCTTGATAAAGAAACAACCTAAGAAAATCTCTGGACTCACTGTGTTTTTGACCAATAACAGTAAATACATTAAAAAAACAAATACATACTAGGGGTCCACTCATAGCTCAGGGACTGCTTATACCACTTAGATCTAGAAATGGTTCTTAACTTCAGCCTAATGTGCATTAATGGCCAGTTAATGGCCTTAGTAAATTTTTGAGGATTAAGAAGTTCTATTAAAATAGGACAGCACCAATGTCACAAACAAACTGCCCTAATAAATATTAGTTTCACATACAGAAAAAGTGCTTTATGCAAGATATTATGGTAATAGTGTATTATAGCAGATTGTTTATTATGCCAGTGTATTGTTGGGAGAATGATGTGAATTGGTAGTGCTTGAACAGCCCCCTTCCATGTTTTGGGAAGAAGAACACCTTGTATTTGTTGACCAGTAGAGGGTGCCCTTCTTGATCAGAGAATCTTAGATATGGGCAGTGCCAGCCTGTATGACACTACAGTCACTTACATTCAAGATGAGAATGCACATGAGAAATGCAGCTTCAAAATAGCAGCCTGTGAAGGTGATAAGCATATTTCAGTAAAGCTGTTTAAAGAGACCACAGAAAGAGTGAAAAAGAAAACGTAACATGTCCTGCTACTGCTCCACTGAGTGGTCAGTTTGTTTATCATAGTTTAAAAGGCATGAGATCATTGCAGAAGTGATGACCTGACTATATGATGGCAATTGTTTTCCTGTCTTTGTAGGTCATTTCCATTGTCTTCTGTATGAGTGTAGCTAAATACTGCTGTGCCATGCCTAACCCAGTTCCAACTATAAAGGGGCACTCCACCGATTTTTCAAAATTTCAGCATAAATAAATGGTTAAGATGTAAACAAAGTCATTCAGAGTGATTTGATGTAAAACGTTCCATCTGAGAGAAACTTTCCAACTCAAATGTCTTTACTGTGGTGGTGATAGGAACCAGGTGTTGTGATGTTTACAACGTGAATATATCCATTTTATTTTACTATCCAAAACTACAAGTGAACCTACATGTGTCTTCTGAGTTTTTTTACATAATGTTGATGATGATAAAATAGTGGCAAATATGAAAAAAGGAAATTTTCTTTAGGTACTATTTTGCCTTAGAACACTCTACATGTATCACTCCGCAAAAATATTGCAATTATGTTATTAAAGTTTATTTATTTACTATAGTTTGCACTTTAAATTCTACCTCTAGGCCTACTTTCTGACCTACAGTTCCTCTTCATGCACATATTTGGTATTTACTATCTATACACCTATTGTTTTTTTTGTGTGTGTGTGTGTTTTTGTCTATTATCATTGCAGTATGGTTTGTTTTTTTATCACTGCACAAACAGTGTTTTGTTATTGTACAACCCTGTATGGTACAATGACAATAAAGCTTAACTGAATTGGATTGAATTGAAGTTATATTGAACAATGACAACCCTGCTGAAAAAGGATCATCAAATGCATTTAGAATCAGCCACTGGTCACCAGTTAAACCATTAGCATCCTTTACATTGTGATTAACGCATTAAAAAGCCAAAACACATTACAAAACTATCAGGAACCAGCAGATACACTTAATGGTTTCTATGGGTTTTTAAAGCAGGAAATAAAGACCACTTGACTTGTGGGTTGTTGGTGTATTTTGTCTCGTACAGCGACCTTTATTTTGTGCAAAGAGTCTAAACGGAACTTTTAATTGAATGAATGATTATTATATTATATATTGATATTTTATTGTATCTTGTTTTCTCGTGGGGAAATTCTGCCTACCACACATACTCTCTCATACTCTCATACTCTCTCTCTCTCTCTCTCGCCCTCAGTAGGTGGATGGATGTGTGTACGCGCGCGCCGTGGCTGATGTTGTGAAGCGTGTTTTTACAATCAGTTTCTGGACGCGTGCGCGCGCGCTCAACTGTCTCTCTCTCTCTCTCTCTTTCTCTCTCTCTCTCCCTCGCTCTCTCTCACACGCACGCGCGCGCTCACACACTCTCAGCTCACACTCGAGCGGGTTGGAGGAGCTGCGCCGCGCGACTCTCCGGGACGAAAAGGAGGCTAAACCGAACGGCGTTCTCTCCGTCTTCTCTCTTCTCTTCTCTTCTCCTGCTCCTTCTCTGCTCCTCTTCTCTCACTCGTACGCGCTGGTGCTGGTGGGCTCGCGGGGCTGGAGGAGGTGAGGCGATGGCGCGCGGGACGGAGCTGCTGCTGCTGGGACTGGCAGTAGTGGTGGGAAGTGTGGAGGTCCAGAGAGAGAGAGAGCACGGTAAGAGCCACTTCAACCTGCAGTGCAAACACAGCCACGGAGTGTGGGTCAGCTTTAGGAAGCTCTCAACACTGTCTCACTTGTACGTACGGGGGTCTTCGAGGGTCTTCTTAAGTCTCAGCTTAGTTTTGGTGTTTGTGGGAAGTAAGGTAAAGTCATCACTTACCACACGACTCTGAGGGGAAGCTTCAGTCGCTGGAACGATGTTGAAGCGCTCTGCTGAGACACAGCACTGAGAGAGAGAGAGAGAGAGAGAAAGAGAGAGAGAGAGAGAGAGAGAGAGAGAGAGAGAGAGATCAGTGAGAACACTGTCAACAACCTCTTCTGTGCAGGTATGAAGGAAAGATACATTTTTCCACCAATAGAGGGCGCCCTTCCTGACCAGGGTGTTCTAGAGATGGAACCGATTCTGACCCCACATTTAGGAGTGGGCAATATGACGATACTTTCAGAGAACTTGTAGAGAGGAGGATTTCCTCTGTAATGTCTTCTGGGTTTCACAAACGCTAGAGGGCGCTCTGAAGCGAGTCCAAAATAAATGGGTTAAGATGGAGCATTTAAGCAAAATCGTAAGTTTATAAATACTTTATGTACGTCTATGGTGTCTGTCAGCGAGAACAGTCAATGAGCTGCTCCTCTCGCCAACCAATCAGCACTCACTAGCAGTAACGCTAGCGTCCTGCTGCCCAAAACCTGTTTGCTGTAGAAAAAAGGAAATATATAAGTTTCCTTTCCTTTTTAGTGAAATACATCCTTCTGCTTTCTAAAATTAAAGGAAAGTTCTGGCCAAGTGATTAGAAACTATTTAAACTTTCCCTTTTAGCCGTTTAGCTCCAATCACTCCCATTCATTGAGGACTCACTCGCAGGCGCCCTCTGGCATTTTGCAGTCATGTTTTTGATATAACGGGGGAAATAGGAAGTGGCCAGTCTCCTCATAAACCAGCTCTAATACTATATCGTATCATGATTACATCACACACTTCTCAGAAGGTATCATGGATATCGTCATTTCTTAAAGAACCCTCATCAACCGAGCATTACATGTAGAGTATTAGTAGTCCTACTTAACCAGTAGCGCTGATTTGCTGTAACATACCCTTGTAAAAGATCAAGGGTTCTTTAGTGAAAGGAATGGTTCTTTTCAGAACTATGATATAGTATGATATAGTCTAGTATGTAGTATAGTATGAGATAGAATCATATAATGCCTAAATGTTTCTTTGCATTGTGAAATGGTTCTTCAGATTGATGGAGAATGTGTTGTATGTGTTTCTACCTAGCACTAAAAAGGGTTCTTCTACTGTGACAAGCTTGACATCGTAGCAATAGCAGAAGCCTTTTTGGTGCTATATAGAACCATTTTCAAAAAGGTTCTATATGGAATCATATACATCACATTCTGCATCAGTCTGATGCAAAGAACCCTTTAATTATGTAAAGCATTCTTTGAGTGTTCATGGTTCTGTATAGATCTCCTTTCTTTACTAAAGAACCATCTTTTTTAAGAGTGAAGCTTGAAATCATAGCAATAGAAGAATGCTTTCTGGTGCTATATAGGACTCATGGTTCTAAATAGAACTTTTTCCTTTACTAGAGAACCCTTGAAGAGTGTAGTATGTACCTTTTAAAAGTGTAGTATGCAAAACAAGGAGTGTAGGAGTGATTAGAAACCTGGGGGGGATGTGTGAATGCTAGGGGGGTCTTTGAGCAGGATTTATGTATAGGCTTTATTTAGTAGCGGGTATTTTGAGTAACTCTGAAAAAAGAAAAGCAGTGTGCATAAAACATGTAATACATTCATGCACTACTTTAGAACACTTTAGTTTTCTGCTGTGAGTTGCACTGTAAAACCTGAAAATGTAAAAGTCAGAGACATTGGTTCGTACTTTTTGGGAGTTTTTTAGGCCCACATTATATGTCTTTACATTTTCAGCGTTACATGCACAGACTCAAAAAGAATCTCTGGCTTGATGTTTAGATCTCAAATGCAAAATCATTTTGCATTTCACCTACATTCTCAGAAGGCAATTCCTGCACCAAATTTTGACTGAGTTCTCTTTATACTCTTTCACCAAACTCGCAATCATCAGATTTATCTGCTTGGGGAAGGGGTCTGAACTGACATTACAAAATGTTCTTTTGCATCTTGCGTGCAATTACACATTTCCACCAGAGACGTCTCCAAATCCCCAGCAAAGTTGTCACAGAAAGAGTGAAAAAGCCACTGCTACATGGCCAGTCCAGTGAACGGTCAGTTTGTTTACCATAATTTAATAAAAGTCATAAAGTCACTGCAGATGTAATGATAACTGGAGTGAGCAGATAGAGGAACGTAGAGGTGTTTTCTGTAGTGTGTTTGGAGGATTGGACTGCATGTGCTGGGAGTTGTGTTTAATGTTTAGCACTGGGCACATTCAGGTGGTTTTGGATGGTGGATTTTGCTGTGAGTGTGCTTTGTGGGTGTGCGGTAAGTGTGTGCGTGTGGGGCTTGAACTGATGCTCGTGTTTGAGGGGAAGGTTCTCATCTCTCTCGCCATTTTGCCCTCGAGCTTACAGCCTGCTCAAACTTGAACATAGAGGGTGCATGTGTTGTGGTTTTGTCCCTGTAGCAGGCAGCTCAATTCACTCGTCGAGTGTTTCGACATCAGAAACAACATTTGGTTGGCTGCAGTTGGATCCCACTTCAGCAGCTCACAGCCTGTAGATTTTACTTGGAGAAACTCTTAAAAGGCCCAGGCCCCATATTTTTCTTGTATTTTTTTTCTGGGGTCCACTGATCATATTTGTGTGGTTTTGTGTACAAAAACTGTCATCATTCACTTTTAAATGACCTTTCTAAATCACTTAGAAATAACCAGACCGTGATTTTAAGGTTATATGCAAATGAGCTCTGTTCTGATTGACTCTCCTGGATTGAGCCTCATTCAAAAAGCAGTCCAGGCTGAAACACTCCTCATAACTTCAACTTGAGTGGGCGGAGCTAAACTGCTGTAGGGTGATTCGTGTAAATGTGCTGGTTTTCATGACATCATGAAACAGAGAATTCAGAACTGATTATTGTTGCACTGTAGTTTCCATATGTGAACTGTATGGACTGGGGAGTGAGTGGTACATTTTGAAACTTTAATAATATTTATATCAAACTCTTTAATTTCCAAAATTGATAGAAATTGTCCATTACATGTTCCCTTGTATACTTTTGTGTTGCTCTTCGTGTATATGGCAAATTTAGATATTTCTTAAGAAAAGCATTTAGAGTAACATATAAAACATATGAAACATGATGTCCGTTGGGCTGGAAGGCAAACCAGCAGAGCCTGTAGACGGAACTAGTGATAGTTCTATCCAGTTCAGTTTACCAAATCAATTCTTTAGCGCTGTCCGATTCAGGGACCTAAGTTTGACCAAAGTAAACTGTGAATGAAGAGGTGTATTCATGTATTGATAGGTGGTTTACTGTGCCCTTTTAGGGACCCACACCCCAACATTGTGGGAACATTACTTCGTCATATACTTTATAACTAAAAGACCTAAAGCACTATAACAACCCCACACTAATCTAACCCTAACTGTCCTTAACCTCAGGCACCAAACCTCATGAACCACAAGGAAGTTTTCTTTTCTGTAACTCATTCAACTTAAGGTTGCATTTTTGGAAAGCAGTGCTTTCCCTTATAGGGACTGTTCAAATGTCCCCACAGTGTCAGAATGTTTGTTCTTATCTCTTCCATGTGACACCAATTTAGCAAATCAGTCTCATGTCCACAATGATTTGTCAGGCCAACTTCATCCTCATATCCTCCGTACGTTGACATTCAGAGCAGTGAGTAAGTCTGATGTCACTACTAATATTATGGTCAGACTCTGAATGAACAGAATGCAAATAAACAACAGGAGGACTGAGCCAGGAGTAGACTAGAGAGAGAGAGAAAGTATAAGCAAATTTAAAGCGGTTGTCCTTGTGTTGTAGTTTATGTTGTGGTTTTATGAGGTTAACCCCTTGAAATCCCAGGCTTATTACATACCAAAGCTTATTGTTCAGTAATTACAGGGACTTCAATGCAAATAGGCTGAGCTGTTCTTCGTTTGTAGAAGTGTGTAATAAAATCTGGCCATGTAAAAGATTAAATTGTGAAAAACTATTTTATTAGATGCCTATTTAGTTGGTCTTGTAAATCAGTTCGGCAGATTCATAGAAAAGGGTCGACTCAGAATTCACTCACTTCACATTTAGCGTTTTTTAGAACTGAGTGAAACGGTTATCAGGCAAAAGGGTCATAAATAAGCTGTAAACTGTTCTTGTAATGAGTCCTTTGTGATGGTGTGGTAGAGGGGATGGTGTTTTGTGTTCTATGTAGTACCACAAAGATTCAATGATTTGAACCATTTTTAAAAGGTCCTCTTAAAGGTTATCAGGTTTTCCATCATAGAGAAGAACTTCTTTAAATGTTCTTTGAGAGTTCACAGTCCTATTGTTCATTGCCTTTACTAAGGAAGCCTGACAGTTTTAAGAACCTTTTAGTTTCTTTCTTACAGTTGTATGCTAAAGTTTGAGCACCCCTGGTCAAATTACAAGGTATGTTGATTTTCTAAGTGAAAAGAAGTTAGCACACAGGAAAAAAACTTTTGCCAGTGGCCACATTTTATGTTTAATGTTTTGATACAGTTTTTGAAACATGGCAGAGTAAGCACTGAATTGCAGTTAATACTTTAAAATAACAGCAATGAACTGTAAAAATGAAAAACTATCATCTTCCATGGTTTACAAAGTTCTGTATGATTTCGTTATAGTTCTACCCTTTTGATGCTTTGTCATTTCAGTGTATGTTTCTCTATGCACGTGTGTTTGAAAGGCACACACACGCACACACACACACACACACACACGCAAACACACACACACACACACACACAAACACACGCACACACACACAAACACAGCATCCGTGTGTGTATGTGTATTTGTGAGAATGTTTATGTGCTGTTGTTTTCCTTCAG